AGAGATCTGCTGTTAGTCTGATGGGCTTCCCTTTGTGGGTAACCCAACCTTTCTCTCTGGCTGCCCCTTAACATTTTTTCCTTCATTTCAACTTTGGTAAATGTGACAATTATGTGTCTTGGGGTTGCACTTCTTGAGGAGTATCTTTGTGGTGTTCTCTGTATTTCCTGAATTTGAGTGTTGGTCTGCCTTGTTAGGTTGGGGAAGTTCTCCTGGATGATATCCTGAAGAGTGTTTTCCAGCTTGGTTCTATTCTCCCTATCACTTTCAGGTACACCAATCAAATGTAGATTTGGTCTTTTCACATATTCCCATATTTCTTGGAGGCTTTGTTCATTTCTTTTTACTCTTTTACTCTTTTCTTCTCTAAACTTCTCACTTCATTTCATTCATTTGATCTTCAATCACTGATACCCTTTCTTCCACCTGATCGAATCAGCTGCTGAAGCTTCTGTATGCGTCACATAGTTCTCCTGCCATGGTTTTCAGCTCCATCAGGTCACTTAAGGTCTTCTCTACACTGTTTATTCTAGTTAGCCGTTCGTCTAATCTTTTTTCAAGGTTTTTAGCTTCCTTGCAATGGGTTCGAACATCCTCCTTTTGCTCGGAGAAGTTTGTTATTACCAGCCTTCTGAAGCCTACTTCTGTCAAGTCATCAAAGTTATTCTCTGTCCAGCTTTGTCCCATTGCTGGCGAGGAGCTGTGATCCTTTGGAGGAGAAGAGGTGCTCTGGTTTTTTAGAATTTTCAGCTTTTCTGCTCTGGTTTCTCCCCATCTTTGTGGTTTTATCTACCTTTGGTCTCATGATGGTGACATACAGATGGGGTTTTGGTGTAGATGTCCTTTTTGTTGATGTTGCTATTCCTTTCTGTTTTGTTAGTTTTCCTTCTAACAGGTCCCTCAGCTGCAGGTCTGTTAAGAGTTTGCTGGAGGTCCACTCCAGACCCTGTTTGCCTGGGTATCACCAGCACATGGCTGCAGAACAGCAAATGTTGCAGAACTGCAATATTGCTGCCTGATCCTTCCTCTGGAAGCTTCGTCTCAGAGGGGCACCCAGCTATATGAGGTGTCAGTCGGCTCCTACTGGGAAGTGTCTCCCAGTTAGGCTACATGGGAGTCAGGGACCCTCTTGAGGAGGCAGTCTGTCCATTCTCACAGCTCAAACACCATGCTGGGAGAACCACTGCTCTCTTCAGAGCTGTCAGGGATGTTTAAGTCTGCAGAAGTTCCTACTGCCTTTTGTTCAGCTGTGACTTTCCTCCAGAGGTGGAGTCTACAGAGGCAGGCAGGCCTTGTTGAGCTGCGGCGGGCTCCACCCAGTTCAAGCTTCCCAGTTGCTTTGTTTACCTACTCAAGTCTCAGCAATGGTGGATGCCCCTACCCCTGCCAGGCTGCTGTCTCGCAGGTCGATCTCAGACTGTAGTGAGCAAGGCTCTGTGGGCTGGGACCCGCTGAGCCAGGTGTGGGATATAATCTCCTGGTGTGCCGTTTGCTAAGACTGTTGGAAAAGCACCATATTTGGGTGGCAGTGTCCCGATTTTCCAGGTACTGTCAGTGACGGCTTCCCTTGGCTAGGAAAGGGAAATCCCCCAACCCCTTGCGCTTCCTAGGTGCAGCAATGCCCCGCCTTGCTTCGGCTCGCCCTCCGTGGGCTGCATCCACTGTCCAGCCAGTCCCAATGAGTTGAACCAGGTGCCTCAGCTAGAAATGCAGAAATCACCTGTCTTCTTTTTTGATCACACTGGGAGCTGCAGACCAGATCTGTTCCTATTTGGCCATCTTGGAACTGTTTCCCCCAATTTTTTGTAATTTTTAATTTTGAGAAGCATCTTTCTGTTGATGCAACTGACAGTGGAGCTGCTAAGAGTATTTTGTAGGCTGTTCCAACATTTGGATAGATTTCTAATAAAGTATTTCCAAATATGAATTTTAGCTTATATAGAAGTGATTATTCTTGGGAATCAGATTTCCTAAAAAGAATTAACTCTTCATACATATTAGTTTCATACATGTTGGAATTTAATTTTACATACAAATCTATACAATGTAATTTTAATGTTTTCTCTAGCATGTCCTGTAACATATAGAGATCATACAAGAAACCAAAAATCATTTAATGATTTGTCTGTAATTCACAGTGCCTGTTTATGCTTTCTGTGGTAGCATCTTCAATTACGAAGACAAATTAAATTTAAAAATTGTATTCCTCGTTAATAATTGGTTCATTAGAAATTGCATATGAGAATAGTGGGTGTTTTCCTATCGAATGCAACAATCCTTAATTTTTATTTCCAAGCCTGTGGATATTTGCTTTGCAGTGTTGTAGCAGTTTTTAAAACCAGAGATTCTAAACTCTTTGAAGGACTCTAATATCTCTCTGATATGCTTTATTGTAATGTCCACGTGTATGTTTTTATTTTCTAATAATTTACTGGCATTTATAGCCTTAATGCTAGCAGTTCCTATCCCAGTTCTCAGGCCAGAAAGATGACATTTTTGCCACAGGGGTGGACTTGGGAAACAGACAACCCAGCCTCCCACCATTGCTGCTTCTGCCATTGTCACCACCATTAATTTGGAGCTAGGTTCTGGCCCCAGCTACCCCTTAGGGCCCTATGTGGTACCCCAGATTGTTTTTTTTTTTTTTTTGGTTGGTTGGTTGGGTTGTTTGTTTGTTTGCTCTATTGCCCAGGCTGGAGTGCAGTGGCACAATCTCAGCTCACTGCAGCCTCCACTTCCCAGGTTCAAGCGATTCTCCTGCCTCAGCCTCCTGAATAGCTGGCCACCATGCCCACCTAATTTTTGTATTTTTAGTAGAGACAGACTTTCACCATGTTGTCCAGGCTGATCTCGAACTCCTGACCTCAAGTGATCCACCCACCTTGGCCTTCCAAAGTGCTGGGATTACAGGTGTGAACCACCTCGCCCAGCCCCCAGACTGTTTCTTTACCTCTGAGCTGTTCCACACTTACCCTTTCTGATAAGAATGCTGGACACAAGGCAGTCTTTCTTTGGAGGGATGTCTTTATAGATTTAGAATCTTTTCCCAAACTTCTAGAGAAAGTGGAAGGGGGTTAACAGGAAGGAACTAACATTTATTCAGTGCCTATTATGTATTATCAGTTAATTCATTTAATCCTCACTGGAGTTTTGCTAGCCCCTTACACATGAAAAGATTGAACTGAGAGACTGAATAACTTCCCCAATATTCCACAGCTTGCAAATGGTAGAACAGAGATTTGAACCAAGTCTGTCTGTGAAGATTTCGACAGGCAGCTTTAGTCTCCTGGATGAGAGTGCTGAAGACAAACCACCTGGGTTCAATTCTAGACTCTGCTGTGTAATTGCTTTCTGTTAGATGAGTTACTTCCCTGAGCTTTAATTTCCGCATGGCATGTTTATAATGGAGATGAGAGTAGTACAGTACCTACTTCATAGGGTTCTTTAGAGGATTATAGGAAGGTTAAATATTTGTAGTGTTAGGAACAGTGCCTGACAGTAAGCCTGCAGTAAATGTCACTGTTAATATCATAACTGTTATCATGACTCCTCTTCCCACTCTACAATCTCTCTTCATAAGTTATAAAGGAATGTTAGAGGTCAGCAGAAGAGAAGAGCTTAAGGACAGGCAGCAGGGCCTAGGTTCTTCAAGTCCTTCTGGTGTTTACCTTCACAAAAGCTCCCCTAAGCAGCATCTTACACACGATGTGGTCTGTGATCTGATTCTTGCCCTGGACAGCCCATTTCTGCTGGGCTTGGATTCTCATTTTCTAATAATCTGATCCTTTCCTGTCTGGGTTATATGTCTTACAGGTATGAGACATCTTTGTTGGATTTGGTTCAGTCTCTGAGCCCAAACTCTGCTCTCAAATCTCAGCGCTGTCCCTCCAGAGAAGCTGGGACCTGGAATCATGGTACTTTCCGACTCAGTCTTCCAAAATCGACCTGGAAGAAGATGGGGATGCACAGAACCCCTGAAGAGCTGGAGGAGAATCAGATTCTGGAAGATATATTTTTCATTTGACATATTGCAAAATTTTCTTAGGAAATTTGTGGGTTTCCCCACATACCGATCTAGCATTTTAAATTATTTCATTGCAAAGTAATTGTGTCTCTCTTTTCACAGGGACCTATCTCACTAGCATCCTGTTATGTATTGAATATAGAAATCATTCTAAAAACCCAGGGTGTTTTCAATCAGACCAGGCATTCGATAACACACTAAGGGGGTAGGAATGGAAGATGGTATCTTTTTTATGCTAAACAGATTAGAAAATTAACATAGGATACTTTCTGTGTGGTGGAAACCATTGCATATTTAGCCTCATTTCAAGAGTGTTTCTTTCTCATACTTCTGCTAGAAGAGGCTGACTCACTTTTATGTACAAGAAAAACCTCTCCATTGAAAGATCCCTCTAAAAGTAACCCCTTTGAAACATAAGCAGTTTCAGAAAGGCAAACCCTCACATCTTTCTCATCCTGTTCTGTCACTACTACGTCTCTATAAGTGGTCCTTTAATTCTGAAGTTGGAGTTGGTGCCCCTGCCATCACAAACAACACTGACAGCCAATTGTGAGTCAGTCTCAGTAGCCATCAGCCTGGCAGCTGCCCATCCCATAACCAAAGAGCTCAATGGGCTAGAGGGTGAGACCCAGCCAATCCTTGGGAGCAAGCAGCACTAAATCGTGTCAGGGAGTGATTAGCCCTGGGGAAATTCAATGGAGGCACAAGCCTGAAGCACTCTTCTACCAGTGTTCAGATGACCACCCCTCCAATATTCCAGAATGAATAAGAACAATCAATCTCTAGGTATTTTTGTCGACTCAAGTGTTCAGCTTATTCACCCTACCTCCCACCCCCCATCACACGCACGCCTGTGAACTTCCCATGGTTGTGTCTAGGCAAAATGCCACTAGAGAGAGAGTGACACCAGCTGCTGCAAGCTGATGGGCTTCCTCTGGCCCTTCCTTTTCCTCCATGAGAATTGAAGGATACAAGCTGACCAGGCCCCACAAGTGCTCTGCTCATGGCCCCAAAGAACCATCTCAACTTGCCAGAGTATGTTCCACCACTGGGCCTCGTTTTGACCCAGAGAAAGCCTATGGAAGTTATGCAGTGCAGACCTCATCCTCTCTGCTGTCTTTTCTCCCACAGAGCTCTTGAGATGGGTCCTTCAGCTTGCAGTGGTCCCTAGTAGCCTCTCAAGCTAATGGGGATGATGAGCCTGGTTTAGCCAGAGTTCAAAACTCTCCAGTCATTGAAAGCAAGGGGAGAGTGTGTTCCCAGATGTGTATTACTTGGGAATTTTATTTGATCTGGAGGGTGTGACTTTTTTCCTCTCCTTTTTACCAACCCCAACTTAAACTGGGAGCAAGACTTTGTTAGTCAGTGTTGGTAGACAAAGTCAGACCTCCCAGGGCAGCCTGCTTGCAATGAGTCTGTGTGGCTTCCCTGAATTATTGTTTTAATTGAAACTAGATTATTTCAATCTAGAAAAACCTTGTTAAGCAGCCTCCTTGTCCAGATAGATCCAAAGCTCATGTCTCTTCATGCTAAGCCTGGTGCTGTCACCTCCACCCAGCCTTCTTTCACTTGGGTTTTTTAATTCTTTGGAGGAGAAAAGAATGGAGCCCACCAATATTATATTTTTCTTCTGAAATAAACATAAAGTCAGGACTAACTAGTTGTAGTCATTCCCTTAAAAAGTTGGAAAACCATTACAGATTAAAATTTCCTTATAAAGTTCACCTCTGAGAGTAACCAAATCAGTTTGATCCCAAATCATAAAGCCTTTGGAGTGTGGAGCTTTCTGTGGTATGGCAGAAATGGGTGGATGGCAAACTAAGAGCCCTCAGCCATTTTTTCAGATAAAGTTAGGTTGCCAGAACTTTCTTTTCCTTGCGCCCTGTGTCATGACTAGCTTAAGTGTACCTGACTCCCATAGACTGCTCCCATGCCCACAGTCACCCATTCCGGACTCCAGTGTCCTTAAAACTCTGGAGTAAGAAGATGCCAGAGGATCAAGAAAAGGATCACAGTTTCTTTAAGAAGCTTGTTTGCCTTTGGAAAATAATAAACATAGTCTAAACTAAAGGCTTTTTGGGGATCACAGCAGCCACAGAGTGGAGTTTAATTGCTTCTTCTTGAACGGCCAATTTGGAAAAGCAGAGATGGACTTTCAGCAAAGTATCAGCCAATACATTTTTCACATGCCAAACTCATCACCAGTTGCCTTTTTCTAACTTGTGGACATTTTGTTGGTGTTGGTGCAAGAGCAATAGGATGTAAATTTGTATATAATCTAATGTCTTCATTATTAATTGAATAGTATCTGTTAACATTTTAATCGATTTAAATTTATTTTGAAATATATGCATACATATGAATGAAAGGTTGTTGCAGAGCCTCAAAGCTGTTGCAGACTATCCCAAGAGAAAGGATCTGGCACAAAGGAATCTGCCTTTCCTCCCTGTCAGGTCCGCCACCCTTGACTGGTTGGGATTTGCTCATCCAGCCTCTAGACACTTCCCCAAAGCAAGACGGGACACATGTCAAGGGTGTTGTGGATAATGCCACAGCATTGCCCACCCTGCTGCCCACCTTCTGTGAAGGAAAAACCAATCAATGTTTACAAAATGGAAAAGGACACAGCATGTCCTTTGAACTCCCTAAGTAAGGCCCACAGTGCTTGATGTAGAGAACCAAAGTGAATCACAGAAAAGCTTTTGCTGACAGTCCGCTTTCCAGGAGGCAAACTTGTGTTTATTCAAACCTGATCCCCATGATGGGGACTTTTCTAGAGCACCCCAAATGTCATGGGGTGGGAAGGACTCTTTCTCCTCCCTCAGAGCCACTGTTCACTTGTCTCTGCTTCTGGCACCAAGTTCACAATAGAGATCTGCTGGACAGAGAATCAGGGGAGAGGAGAGGCCTGATGGGGCAGAGATGGAGGCTGTGGCGGACTCCTTCCAACTCACAATTTATCCTCAGCTCAGAGTGTATTTTGAATGTTGGCAAATGTTTATGTACATATGCGATTTTAAGTTAATAAATCATCTCTATGGCTATTTTCCCCATATGGGTTTGATATTGAATTGTCCCTTGAACATCCCTCATCAGATCAGTGAGGCATAGCTTGAAAGCTAGTGCAGAGCTGCAGGTTATCAAAATGTTATTTTCCTCAGTACTTGTTAAAACAGCAGGAGCCTGTGGTCGACTGAGAGAAAGGAAATGGTTTGTCACATCCCAGTAGGTTTTTCTGCTGTGGCCCCTGCTCACTCACATCACGTGGACACCAAGCCGCCTCTAGATTGTGTGCTTGTTGGAACAGACATTCAATCTATGTGCACCTCTAAGTTCCTTCTCTGTGCCTAGCCCCATAGCTGCTCAGCAAGGAACAGATATCACAGCACTTTAAGACAAAGAAAAATGGCCCTGCCTAGTTGCCTTTAGTTGCTGGAAGAATGTATGTGAGGGCTTCAGTGCCTAAAATGCTCAATTCTGAGATCACACCTGTGGATTCAACTAAGACAGAGACAAAGCCAGGCTGGCACCTGCACCTGAATAAGGAGACTTCACACCTGCCCCTCCAAGGCACAGGTAGCAGGAACAGGATCATTACTCAAACAGCTCCCAAACTGAAAATGAAAATTGCTCATAGATTACTGGCAACACCATTTGGGTGTTTAGGAATCTGGAGACCCAGTCTGGAAATGAAGGGACTTCAATCAACTGTAAGATCCCCTGTAATTTGAAAAAAATACCCTGTGAATAGCCCAGACTTTCATCTGACTTTCTCATCCCTTCTTTCCACCATTGTGGTTCTCTCTTTCCTTTTATAACAAGACTTCTAAAGGGAGCAGTCTTGGATTCATTGCCCCTTAACACCTCACAAACTGGCTTTCACCCAAGCCCAGTTTAAAGAGAGGTGAGTCAAAGTCAGGTTTTTACTCTTGACTTTTCAGCACTCCTGGCCAATCAGCAACCAAAGCTTATAGACACTACTTTTTTTTTTTTTTTTTTTGGTAATAGTCTTATAAGATATTATTGAAATACTGTACAGTCTACCTATTTAAAGTGTACAGTTCAGTGGTCTTTGTATATTCACAGAGTTGCCACCATCACCACAATCAATTTTAGAAAATCAATTTTCATCACCCCAAAGAGAAACCCATACCCTTTAGCAGTCACCCTCCATACTGCCAGCCTTAGGCAACCATTGACTTGCTGTCTCTATACATTTGCATATCTGGACACATCATATTAATGAAATTATATTCTATGTGGTCTTCTGTGACCGGCTTCTTTCACAGCATAATGTTTTCAAGGTTCATCCATGCTGTCACATATACATGGTTCCTTTTGATTGCCAAATTAATATGGTATCGTATGAATATATGACATTTTTGTTTATCCGTTCGTCAGTTGATGGACATTTGGGTTGTTCCCCATTTTGTTGTTGTTGTTGTTGTTGTTATGAAGAATGCTGCTATGAAGATCCATGCAAAACTTTATTTTTGTTTTTGTTTTTGTTTTTTTGAGACAGAGTTTTGCTCTTGTTGCCCAGGCTGGAGTGCAATGGCGCAATCTCAGCTCACCGCAACCTCCACACCTCCACCTCCCAGGTTCAAGCAATTCTCCTGCCTCAGCCTCCCCAGTAGCTGGGATTACAGGCATGCACCACCACATCCAGCTAATTTTGTATTTTTAGTAGAGACGGGGTTTCTCCATGTTGGCCAGGCTGGTCTCGAGCTCTCGACCGCAGATGATCCGCCCACCTCGGCCTCTCATAGTGCTGGGATTACAGGCGTGAGCCACCACGCCTGGGCCCATTCGAAACTTTTTTGTATAGACACTCCCTTAAACCAAAGCCTAATCCAGAGCAAAGCCCTGACTTTCTTCAATTCTGTGAAGGCTGAGAGAGATGAGGAAGTTGTAGATGAAAAGCTTGCAGCTAGCAGAGGTTTAAGGAAAGAGACCATCTCCATAATATAAAAGTATAATGTGAAACAGCAAGTGCTGATGTAGAAGCTATGGCAAGTTATTTATCCAGAAGATCTACTTAGGATCATTGATGAATGTAGCTCCACTAAACAATGGATTTTC